GCATACATCCTCCTGTTTTGCTCATCGTTTGACCCAACCCAATTAATTTCCTGGTTTAATTTATTTCCATCAAAGATATGTTCATGTGTGCAGAATCCTCGATCAGCACTGGTTTGGCCTGGCAGGTTATCAGATCAAATGGCCTTTACTAGTTATATTATTCAGCTTAGTGTCTGCGTTCTTCTTGCACCTTAATAAGTCAGGCCAGTTGATACCCTCATCTTTCCCCTCTATCCCATTGCAATTTGTAATATTTCAACTTGGCCTGGCCTCCTTATCTTGAACTAGGTAACAGTTAAATCTGAATGACAACACTAGTATATGGTGACTGCTAACTGGGGCAAGAAGTTCCAGTTTGGCCACCACATACCCTCTCCTGTTTGGGTCATGGATTCAGGTCATGGGTTTGGTAAGACCTCTGTATTTGGTCTCTCACATGTTGGAACAGAAAATTATCTCTCAGAGTTTCTGTACAAAAAAGAGTAGCATGGTTATTCGTCATTCGTGGACTCTGTTTCTCCAGTCAAATGTCGCCATAGTTAAAGTCCCCATGATAAGGAGGTGGCTAGGGCTTGAGCATCGCGGTTGTTTGCCATGTTCTGTTCTTTGATTTAGGCCACAGCTCCGGGGATCTGTAGAATACACCTGACGATAAGTGTCCTTAAATTAAACTACACCACCTCTTGACTTCTTCAAAAACATCCTTCCCTGTACCCTCTGCCTGGCTGGCTCTAAGGTCTTCGTCTAGCGTAGATAACCACACCCTCCCGCGTGATTCTTGGTTCGTAAATGAAATATATCCAGCACTGAACTCACATTCCTTCATATTTCTCCTGTTCTTGTACAACAGTTCTCACAACCCACAATATCTGGTTGGTGTACTTTAGTAGTGTTTCAAACTCTCTTTATTTGAAGAACGTGTCAGTAATAGTATGATATTCGCCAGAATTTGTTCGGTAAACGCCCCTGTTTCAGTAATAAACCCCCCCCACATTCTCAGAAGCGCGCACGAATAAGTACATCACTCAATAGTCCCCTAGTCGTTACCAACACTCTTCCTCCCAGACCAGATATCATCTCCTAGTCACAGGTCGGCACACCTAGGAACTGCCACTTTGCCATAAACAGATAAAATACCAGAACTTTCCCAAACACACCATCATTCTTTCACCGTAACTTGACAAAAACCCCACGACCTTCAGGCTTTACCCCCAATATCGAGCCAGAACGCAAAACCCTTATACCCTGTTAGTTCTGCCCTCACACCACACAGGACCTATAAAACAATAAATCCTGAACTGTGAGGATTTAGGTGAAGGTTAGCGATGGTGGTTAGAGCTGCGCGGTTAGAGCCTGGAAGTAGTGGTTGCCAGCAGCCAAGACCACATTGCAGGATTCCCACCTCACTAACGACCACACCTAGTTCTTAACCTTCGCTAATATCTAACACTTCAACACAGCCAAGATCGGAAGAGAGAAGTATGGTACATATAGAAAATATTACCCAAATAATATAAGGTGATATAAGGTGTATATAAATACTCTCTAGCCACATTACAGTTCTAAGTTATCTCAGCGGTATTTTATTTTTGTGAGTTTAGTTTTGGCTGTTGATGATAGGAAGTAATGTCATTATGCTTGTCTTTCTTTAGGTTTGAATTTAATATATATTTTTCGTAAAAGGTTTACAGGAAAACAATTAACAAAAAAACAGGCCTTGTAGTTTATTTCATGGTGTTTAATCAACCCAATTTTATATCCACAGGAAATGAGAAATTTTAGATATGACCCCCAAACCCACTGTCAATACCTTGATTAAAACAGTAAGCAGGGCTGAAGTAGAGAGAAATTGGGGAAACACAGAAATAAAAGGATAAAACATTTCTGTCACCAACCCGTTTCACCACATTTACCCATTTCGTCACAGTTCATTCCCCATCATTCAAGGTCTGACCCTTCATTATGCATTAACTGAAGCAGTGAAGACCTAATGGCTGGTTTACTATCTTTTTGTACTTACATTGGATCATGCAAGCATCTCATTACAACAATTTATTAAAAACGATAATAAAAAAATACGTTAATACTTAAACAAGAGTCTCACTAAAACAATTTATTAAAGACTAAAACGAAACAAAGATAAAAACATTGTTAATACACCTACAATCATCTTGCTTAAACAATATGTGAAAGACTAAAATTAAAAAAAAAAAAAATTGTTCTATCATGCAAGCTTGGAAGAAGACTGACAATTTTTTAATAAATTAGAAGTGGTGATATTTTATTCTTCATATTCATCCCACAGCTCCATAGACGGACTTGTTTGTCATGATTTCTGTCCACTTATTTTAACTTGTGCTATAACGAAGTTAACTGTAAAATCACCATTGAGGCTTCCTCAGAAGAAGAGGAATGAGGCAGAGCTAGATTGTTCTTTGCTCAGTGGTTTATGCGCTCTTGTGCCACCCTCAACATATAATTTGCTCCCAACCAGATGCTGAAAAACACATCAAACCACCGACCAGACATGTTGTTAAGCCATGTTCGGCTCATATGATCAGTGAGTTTTAACGAGTTCTCACCGTTGTGCTTTTGCAGGTCTTCAAACGTCTACCCGATAGGCATCTGTAAACGTAATTTATACCAGAAAATAATAACGCATAATTTGCCACACTTAAATACCAGCGACTGTTTCTTCACCAGACCGTTAGTGGTGACTAAATGGGTTGGTGATGAAATGGGGTGTATCCAAATAAAAGACCAAATCAACCTTAACTTAACCAAACGGATAATGGTGGAAGAGACGGTGGTAACATCCGTCCATTGGCTGTCCTGGTATTACAGAAGCTTCCAATACACGCTGACTAAGTTCCAACCATCCCCAACCTTTAGATTCTTATTTGAGTATTCTAACCCCATTTCAACCAGGAATAAAAGAATAATAACGCCAGAAAAATTTGAAAAAGCTTTTCCCATATTTTGGGGGATAACTAAAAACAGGTACCCTCCCAGAAATAAAAGTAAAATTGATTAAACCACACCATAACATCACAGGATAAACTTGTTTCTAAACTACTAGACATACCAAAAACTGCAATTTTAAACTCTGTCCTCAGGGCTTCGATACAAAAATGAGAGTATGGTGTGTTTTAACCCAGATCTGACTCACTTTGTGCACAATAGAGCTTTTGAAAAGCTAAAACTTCCATTTGTAACGAAACCACTAATTTCAAAAAAAATGGCAGCCAGGTTTGAGTAAACACCATAACTTCCGAAAAACCCTTAACCCAACATATTTTTGAGCTACCTCCTACTGAGGTGTTTCGATACAGTTAGCTAATCAGGCGCTTATGGTTTTAACAAAAGAGCTTGTCTTTCTTAGAAGTAAAAAGTTTTCACAACGAGGACACAGTCTTGATGCTGGTAGACCGCGATCATGGATGCTTTACTATTATTCTGATAAACTGCCCAAATAACACAAGATAATGGAGAAAAGCACTCAACTGCACCACGAGCCCAAAAATTATACCAGCCAAGTCACACGACCCACATTTTAAGATCATTAGTTGTCACTAAGAGGAGGAGGAAGGAGACAACGACTTTGCAATATCCGTACTGAAATTCGCCTAGAAATTTTAGAGATACATTACTCCGCAAGATTGATTTGCAAGAAATGATATGAAGTCAATTAAAGTTTTTAAGTCCTAAGTCTGTAATATTGAAAATTGGAAACCTACTGACAGCCAGTGGACAAATATTAACCGAGACGGACAACACCAAGGTAATTGTTTGATTTTGTGAATTTTTTCCATGGATGTTGCTCAGATGATAGTACAGTAATAAAAACGATACGACAATGCACAGAACCCAACAGAACTTGACCTAACCAACTAAACCAACCTAACCTTACTTAACTTCCTAACCAGGAGGTTCCGACCTCGACCTCTGGGCAAATAAGTAGAAAGAACTTACTTTGAGATCTGATACAATGAAAGCAACTTTCTTGAATCTGCATTGTGTTAATGTACTTTTATCAGTTATTGAAACAAATTATTTCTTCACTCAGTTTTCTGCTGCACATACAAATTTATTGGAACTTGAGTCTACCCCTAAGTTTGTGCTTATTACTTTATTATAAACACGGACTTGAAGGTAGACTGTCATATTTTAAAAAATTTGTTTCTGATATTTGTAAGAGAATTTTCCCATTATTATTTATTTGTAAGTGTTTGTGTATGTCTACACACACACACACACACACACACACACACACAGATTTATAGAAAGAAAGGAAATTACTGTCTCTCTAGATCCACGGCTCCCTGTCCCAGCGATAATGTCAAACTTTAAAACTACCCACAGACATTCTTAGAACATCCAGAGTGTCATTCCCGAACAATAGAGGACCCCAAGCAAAAATCCAGCGAATTGGGCCCCACTGTTAAAGGGTAATGTGCCGTTTATTTGGCATCCTGTGTACCGACAGCAAGACCGGGGATAGTAACACTGCCTTGCCCGAGGTGCCACCATTGCTTTTGGATGTCGGGTCACACTAGATTCTAGTGCGACATCATATAACGGGCCATTCTAGTGACCAGAATAACCCATTATAGTACTTCCTTCTGTCCTCACACAGCCAAACTGTGGACTGTTCTGCCTTCTTCTGTGTTTCCATACTCATACAATCTGTCTCACTTCAAAAAGCTGGTTTTCCTGCATCTTCGAGGTGTACATTAAGTCTTTTTTCCCTATTTTTAATTTATTCTTCTTACTCATTTTTCGCCTTCTAGGCCCCATTGTGGGTTGATAACTGCACCCGGGTGGGCTATTTCCTGTAAAAAAAGATAATTTTATTCATTTTAACCTACAGAATAAAATAATGTTTATATTTCCCCACAGAACAAAAAGATCTTGTCTGAGAAGAAGTTCACACAGGAGATAACGAGAGTTGTATCTGACCAAGTCCAGCACGAGCCGCACAAGAAGAAATTGGGCCATGTCCCACTAGTCATCATCCACAGACTCACGCCCAAGATCATGAAAGCAACACACCAGGCAGCTGAGCGAGTAAGTCCTTCCCTACCACACAGGTCTTCTTAATATGAAAACCTCACCTGATGAAATGCCATCTTGGTTGTTAAACTTTATGTTCTGTGATCAAACCATGGCCCTCTGATCCCCCTGCCATGGCCCTCTGATCCCCCCCAGCCATGGCCCTCTGATCCCCCAGCCATGGCCTCTGATCCCAGCCATGGCCCTCTGATCCCCCAGCCTGCGGCCCCTGATCCCCAGCCATCCTCCTGATCCCCCAGCTAGCCCTCTGATCCCCCAGCCATGGCCCTCTGATCCCCCAGCCAGGCCCCAACCCAGCCATGGCCCTGATCCCCCAGCCAGGCCTCTGATCCCCAGCCATGGCCCCTGATCCCCAGCAGCCCCCGACCCAGCCATGGCCCTCTGATCCCAGCCATGGCCCTCAACCCCCAGCTAAGCCCTGATCCCCAGCTGCCCCTCTGATCCCCAGCCAGGCCTCTGACCCCAGCCATGCCCCTACCCCAGCCATGGCCCTCTGATCCCCCAGCTATGGCCCTCTGATCCCCCCCAGCCATGGCCCTCTGATCCCCCCAGTCATGGCCTTGTGATCTCTACTCTGATAAGCATGAATTTAATCAGTAAATATATTGTTTGTGACCAGTTGTTGTCATTGTGGTGTTGTATCAGACATGGGGTAATAGTATATAATAGTAATAGACTATTACAGGGTATTTAAAGTACAGTAATAGTAATTTGTAATACTGTATATTACAACTTTTTTGCCTGTAATAGTAATAGAAGGCTAAGTAATAGATGTGAGTCTATTGCTTTTCTACTACAGAGACATTTCTTGAACTCTTAGGTTGTTGAAAAATTTTCTCATGATTACTGAATTGGTGCTGTAATTCAACAGTTTTCTTAGACAAGGGAGTAACAAAAACCAACCATAACGAGCTTGTTTGTAACACCAAAAATCCCGACATATCTGTATTATTTCATTATTCACAAGAATATAATACAGTACTGCAAAATGTAGATGAAATAGGAACATACTGATGATTATGCAAAATAAATAAATAAATAAATACTATCTGGCAAAAGTAATACCTGTAGTAATATATGACCAAGTACTGTAATAGTATTAGATGACAACTAAAATAATAGTAATAGTAATTTATTAAAACAAGATTAATAATTAAAGAAACCCATAAACAGACCTCATATTTGGATTGTACAGTATGTTACTTTTCCCAGTGTTGAGAGTTTATGTGACTACAGTATTTATGATCAAACAAATCTTTCCTGTTATTGAAAGTAAGGATGCACTTAATATTTTGAGTGTTTGTGAGTCATTGGGGATTATTTTTATAGGGAATGTATTTTATTTATTTACTGATTTTTTTTTTCTCATTTGTGTTGAATATTCATTGCATGAGTTGTGTTGTGTTCCTGTAGAAGGTTAATGTGTGTTGTGTTCCTGTAGTAGGTTAATGTGTGTTGTGTTCCTGTAGAAGGTTAATGTGTGTTGTGTTCCTGTAGAAGGTTAATGTGTGTTGTGTTCCTGTAGAAGGTTAATGTGTGTTGTGTTCCTGTAGAAGGTTAATGTGTGTTGTGTTCCTGTAGAAGGTTAATTAATGTTGTGTTATGATCCGGCAGGAGGATGTGGAATGATTCTCTGAGTGAGGGGGAGGAGTCTCTGTCTTCGTCTTACAGTTCCTCTGAGAATGAAGCAGAAGATGTCACTGCCTCACACGTGCTCACCTTGCAACATGACCCTGAGGAAGGAACACAACAAAAGGTGGCTGGGGAGAAAACAGGTGAACCGTCACAGATAATGTCAGATGAGAACGACCTCAAGAAGTCAGCTGAGGAAAGAGATAGTGAAGATTTTTTCAATTCTGATTGGTCGGGTGAATTTCCAGATCTCAATGATCCTTTGTGGGAGAGCCCCAACAAAGAACGGAGTAAAACAAAGTCTGCTAAGAAAAAGCAGCATAAAAAGAAGAGGAAGAAGAAGAAGAAAGGAGAAGAGTGTGTGAAGAAGGTAGGAGATGGAAAGTTAATGAAGAATGCCTTGAAGGCCTTTTTACACCAAAAGAAAATGTATAGAAGCACAAGTAAAGACAAGAGAAAACCAAAGGAGAGCAACTCGGTATGGATACAGCCGTCAACGTTGTGCGGACCTGAGCACGAGGGTCATCAACTGTCCAGCGAGCCACCCATCTCCGTCTGTACTGGCGAGTCTGCCACTCTTAGTTCACCAGTGATGACAGCCCCGTCCAAAGAGCTAGAATATCGGGAGAGGATAAAGGCTAACATGGCTAAGACAATAAATGTGAATGTAACGAATGCAGATGCCCATACCTGTACTTCTAATTTAGTAACTCACCAACATAAAATGTCAGACAGCTCTTCTGGTTATGCTTCAAACAAGCCACAGTCCACCTTTGTTTCTGCTACGTCAGAGAGAACATCAGCTGCCATTCTCACATCAGAGAGACCATCAGCTGCCATTCTCACATCAGAGAGAACATCAGCTGCCATTCTCACATCAGAGAGACCATCAGCTGCCATTCTCACATCAGAGAAACCATCAGCTGCCATTCTCACGTCAGAGAGAACATCAGCTGCCATTCTCACATCAGAGAAACCATCAGCTGCCATTCTCACATCAGAGAGACCATCAGCTGCCATTCTCACATCAGAGAGACCATCAGCTGCCATTCTCACATCAGAGAGACCATCAGCTGCCATTCTCACGTCAGAGAGACCATCAGTTGCCATTCTCACATCAGAGAGACCATCAGCTGCCATTCTCACATCAGAGAGACCATCAGCTGCCATTCTCACGTCAGAGAGACCATCAGCTGCCATTCTCACATCAGAGAGACCATCAGCTGCCATTCTCACATCAGAGAGACCATCAGTTGCCATTCTCACATCAGAGAGACCATCAGCTGCCATTCTCACATCAGAGAGACCATCAGCTGCCATTCTCACATCGGAGAGACCATCAGCTGCCATTCTCACATCGGAGAGACCATCAGCTGCCGCTGCCCCAATTAATGATGAAAAAAATGTTGATTCAGAAGATGAAGAAAGCAGTTCATTTGATTCCGATAAAACTGTGGCTTTTGAGGAACCCGAGACAGTATCTAGGGAAAGCAACAACTTACCATTTATTATTAGTAAGATAGAAACTCAAAAGAACGAAGTGAGCCATGCTGTGGGTATTGCAAGTAATGCTGTCGAGTCAAACAAGAGAAAATGGCATGAGTCGGGGGGCTGGGAAGGTGAGGCCCTGGTTGAGAATAGGAAAAAACTTAAGGGAATTGACTCCTTTGTACCAATGGTAACTCTTCCCTCCTCTGTCTTGACTAGTACATTGTTTCCTCATAGCGCCCTCTCCGGCACGACAGAGCCGTCATCTGCTACCTCGTGTACTCTCCCTTCGCCTCATCAGGATTCTGGCACACAACCACCGCCTGCCACAATGTTTTCTAATGTACGGTTTGTAGTGAGATCTCCACGACCCTTTCATAAACGAAAGCCTCCTTCCAATGCCCGGAAGAGCATACAACCAAAGAAGCAGAACATCCTTCCTCTGGAGGGCTTGTCACTGACGCTGGCAAATGAAACCAACTTCTTGAAAAGCTCGCCAGAGACCACGGTGTCGTCAACTCTGCCGATAAGTGAAAGGTGCGTCCCCAAAGTAGAGAGAGAAAGACGTTTGGAGGTGCCGGGGAAGGAAGTATGTCTCGACACTCCTATGGAACTGTGTAAGAGGTACTCCTCGGAGATCTTGGCGATAACGGAGAAGAAGAACGAGTGCGACGAGAAGATCAGGAAGATCAGAGAGAAGTGTGATAAGGAAATTGCAGCTGAGGAAGTGAAGAAGAAGCAGTACGAGAACAGGATGGAGCAGTTGGTCAGCCTGATGCGTCAGCTGCCCTCAACCACCAGTGAAAGACCATCTGTGATTGATGCAGGTCAGGAAATATTGTGTTCCTATAAAAATTATGTGTCCAATACTTAGGTTAGGTTAGGCCAGATTAGGAAGTGTTAAGCTAGAGTTGTTTAAGTTCATTTAAGTTTGGGTGGATTAGCTGAGATTGGGTTGGGTTAGGTTATAATATTAGATTAAGTTGATTTGAGTTAACTTAGGTTAAGTTATTTAAATTTAGAAAAACCTTGTGATAAAAAGATTACAGTATTACCCCGCCTAACGCGGTTTCACTTAGCGCGTTTTCGCATATACGCGGTGCCTTGCCAGAGCTGAACTTTCACTTAACACGGATTTTTTCCACATATACGCGGTGAGTGTCCGGCTCGAGATGCTATTTTTAGATTTTGCCCACGCGCCACGCGCCACCCGCCCGCCTGCCTGCCTGTGCTCCTCGCCTCTCCCTCCTCCTCCCTCCGCTTGGGCAAGCCGCGCGGTAAGGTTGCGCAGTGTGTGTCTTTGTTGCGTTATCACTGACGTCATATGACGTATCGGACTGTGATTGGCCATGCATCCCTACCCCCCTCTGCTGCTAGCTGTAATTGGCTTAAAGTATTATGACGTGACCACCCCGGGGAGGGAGGGAGGGAGGGAGGGAGGAGAGACGATGCTTGACCTAGCTGCGGCAGTTTCATCCCTCAAGGCCACACCGTGTAAACGCGCATCCATTGTTCCGTAAAATGGCTTCCGCCGGACCACCACCGCCCCCAGAGAGAGACCTTTCCTTACCTGGACCCAGCGGCACTAAGCCAAAGAAGACACGACGTTCATTAAGCTACGAGGTGAAGTACCAAATTGTTCAAGATTTGGAGAAAGGAAGACGGCAAGTTGATCTCGCGCGCCAGCATGGCGTCAACGAATCTACGATTCGTACGATCAAGAAGGATGCAGCCAAGATCAAAGAGCACATGAAAATCACAAAGTCTGCAGGTGCTTCATCTATCAGGTATTGCCAGAACAGGGTGCTGGCAAAAGTGGAAAATTTGCTGGTGAGTTATTTGGTGCGTCAGGCGCGACGCAACATGGCGGTGGACACGCGCTCAGTGCAGGAGTACGCACGTGAGCTATACGCAGCAGTGACACGTAAACTGGGAATTGCAGAGCCCAAACCCTTCAATGCTTCCTCTGGTTGGCTGCA